TAAACCAGACATCGGTCTTTACAGAAACACTGTTTACAACAGCAATTTACTTCTACACATAAAACCCACCCTCAGGCCACACCTCCAGGTTGCCAGATACATTCTCATGATTTAGTTTGGTGCTGTGAGATGTTATCTCACAAGTTTCAATAAAGTTAAATGAAAATCTCTTATTTTTTCTCCTTTTTCATTATGGATCTCACTTTTTCCAACTGTGAAGAAAAACTTGAAAACAACATAAAGATAACAAAACCAAAACAAAATGTATAAAACTGCCTCTTTTTCCTCTTAGTATTTCACCACTTTTTTAGCAGTCTAAAATTCTGGTTGGCCTCATTCCACAGGTTTTGGGGGAAGAGCCAATGTAGGGGATGGTGTTGCAAAATGTAGTGTTGGCATGCTCCTGTTCAAATCAGAGGCTGCTGGGTTGGCTTGAGTTGGAATTGGTATTTTATTTATTTATTTGAACTCAAAAGAGCAGACTGGCCTGGGACCACTATCCAGGTCACGCACCCAGTTATTGGGATTCTGAAACCTACCACCTGTCAGTTTGTTTTCAGAATGATGCAGTAAGGCAACATTTTAGTACTTTAAACCCACCTGTCTAAAGGAACCATGCTCTGTGAGGAAGCTGGGTTTTCATTTAGCTCTTAAGGCAAAGACAAACCAGCCCACCCAGGAAAACTACATTACAACAAAAACCAAACCAAACCTTCTGCATTTTACCCTAATTTTCCATTCTGGTTTGGGTTTGACCATGAAATTCTTACAGGAGGTACTGCTTATTTATTTGAATTTCACAGAAAATCTTCTCAGTCTTTTTATACATTCAGAAATCACAGTACCCAAAAAAGGTTCATTTATTTTCTTTGGGACAGTTTTTATTTTTTATTTTTTTGCTACAATAATTAAATTACAAGCTTGGGTGATGGTTTTAAACACAATAATTTATTCCTTTTGCTAAAGGAAGCTTAAGTTAATTTTGTTACAAATAGGCATTACTCCTTTCAGATGGTCTTGGTTTTACATCACAGTACAAAGTAGGCAAACATGTTTTCTTAGGAGGGTTACATCCCTTTAAGTTTATTAAGTGGAATAGTACCCAGTCACACAAGAACCTAGACTTCCAATCTGCTCTGCTTATTTGACAGTTCAAGCTTGCCGTTTACCCCTAAAAATCCTTAACAAGAGTTTCCCTTTCCATTAGTCTACTTCTTACTGCTTGTCACCAGGGCTCTGCATTTTCCAAGTATGAAAGCAAAGATACTGGAAAAATTTTAAAACATGGGCTGTGTCTAGATTACAAACTTCTGCTGGCATATCTGGGCTATGGAACGCCTGCTTCCTTACTGACACTGTTTTGAAAACAAGCCTGTAGTATAGTGTGGCTACACTACAGCACAGTGCTTTTCTTGGTGTAGTCTATGCTACTTGGGGTGAAGGTGTTAATTATGTCATCACAAAGCTCTTTTTGGCAGCATATGCTGAATCTACATCAAAAGTCTTGTTGTTTTTGCTCTATGGTGAGAATCTTTTCAATATAATGATGCTCAAAGAATAAACTGGATGGTGGGGGTTCCTAGTAGAGTGCTGCAGGTGATTAAGTGGCCACAACTACTCTGAAGGTACACTATCAGCCTGAAATCCAGACATATTTTAAGAAATTATTTTTAACTACTGTCAAGTACAGAACCATTCCCTAAATTTTCCCACCAACTACAAGTGGTTTTAAGCTGGCATAGTATGTTTCCCCTACTGCCAAGCAGAACAGCCATAAAGAGTAGCAGGGAAGGAAACAGAATAAATAAGAACTTATTTATGAAGGGCTTTAAAATGCACAAAGTGGAGGGAAAAGCACGTTCTTTCTCTGTTTTCTTCTTACTTGTAACAATTTTAGCTGTTGCTCAGTATTATTTTGCCTCAAAATACTCAGATGAGAGAAATAACTATCCAAATCAACTATTTATTTTAGCTTGGATTCACCTGACTAAGATCCTAACCCCTCAGGTCACTTGGGCAGAAGCAATGTCACCAGCAATCTAAGTTGAACAGAACACAGAGGAAGGCCAACGTCAGGCCTACCTGCACACTCTTTGGAGTTTGACGCAAGGCAAATTTTCTTACGTTGGTAGCTGCAAGTTTGATAATGTACCACAGACCAGGCAAACTAGTTGCACTAACAGAAATGCCACGAGAAGCAAGAATTAGTACCATCAGCTTTTTATAAAGGAATGCCAACAGAAATTAGACCCAGATTCAACCACTTGGTTGCAAGGGAGGAGTGAACAGCTCAGATCAGGAGCTGGGCAGCCTGCGCGTATGTGTCCCTTCCACTCCCTCAAACCCCAAGAGACTTTGCAGGTGCGGTACCTTGGCATAGGCTGGAGAAGCTGAGAGATGCTCCAAGTTACAACACAAGTGCAAGAGAGCTGAGTTATGCAGAACGCCTGGCCGCTCATTTTTCATTGGGGACACGTTGGTAAAGTGGTGTCCCACCTCTTAATGATCTTCTTGTAGGCAGATCTGCTGATACTAGTGAGTCTTTGCACTGGGAATGTAGTGCAAAGTGGACATACCAAGATTTGGACCACTGATTTTAAACTGAACTTCTTATTAAAAATTGCTTTGACTTTAAATAGCTTTACAGTTTTAAATAAAATAATTATTTAAAAAATAGTTTTAATTAAATGAACCTAGACGTAGAGGATCTTTGATCTCCATATCTGATATACTTTTGAATAAATAGTTCTATATATACCTCTTGATCTTTGTGATGATGAAGTGCACAAAAACTTAAAAAGATTTTTTTTTTTTAGGCTGAAATCAACAGTTGTTTCTTTAGGAATAAACTTAATATCCTGAAACACTCAATGCAAAGTTACAGAAACCCAAAATATATTCTAACTACATAGTCACGATAAATACATATTTTAACTGAACGCATGCTTTTTAATTGCTCTGTAAACTACCAAAAAAGAAAATCAAGATTATCCTTAAAAGAAAAGTGAAATAAATAAACAAAACCAGACTTCAAATAACTAACTGAACCAGCCAGTAACACTTTAGAATACAAAAGTGTCTTTCCCTTTCTCCTTTGGATTAGCCCAGCATTATAATACTCTGAGGACAACAAATAAAAAATATACCAAACCACCATTCTCGAGTTTGATTCTGAAAGCAAAAGTTTTCATTAATTTGGGCATTTTAAATTTGCTAGTTGAATATAAAGCTGCACATGAGGCTCCCTAAGGTATAAATAAACTAAGCCTCTGAAGTGAAAACAAAAAGAGAAATCACACATGCAATTTATTCCAGAAAAAAAGGTGATTTTAACTTTCACTTTAAAAACCTGTTAAGTGTAACAGTGTGTTAGGAACAATCAAGCTCACTAGAGGGACAATTTGCTTGCAAATGCTAGAAAGCATGATTATTTAATGTTATAATTCTGAGCAATATCTTGAAGATTTTACTTCACAGTATTTTACAAAATAATATTTTAACCTGAACACAATTGCATCATACAATGTTAGTAAGCAGGAAATCATGGAGCGGAGTGAAGCGGACCCCTCAAAAACGCTGCTTCCTGAGGTGTAAAGGAATCGTTTCACACTAACACCTTCAGCAGGGCTAGTCCATTATGCTCGGTGCAAGAACAGTTGACCAGAGCGTGGGCCAAAGGCCTGTGTAGCTAATTCTCACCTTCACAGTCATGTCAGTGTTTCTCTCACATACCACACAGGGAGGGCTGAGCACCAAGTGATAGAAATACCCATTTAAAATGTCTCTTTGTACTGATTTACATTTGTTTGGAGAGCTGATAGAAAAAGAACAGATTTTACAATACAGGTCTCAGAACCGCAGGGCAAATAGATGCAAATGTGCTTTATCTGCTGGAATGAGTGCCCTGGACTACTAACATGCCTTGGTGGGTCTGCAGTGAGCCTCTGAATCTCTTCTGTTGCATCAGTCCTACTTCACATAAGCATTCACTCATTGAGGGAGGCTGCAGCCACACTGTTCAGTGATCCTGGGCACTCATCTGGGATGAGTCAGATATGAGCCCTAATTGCAATAAATATTCACAGACAAAGGCAAAGATCATTATTCCCCATTTATGGAGGAGAAACTGAGGCACAAAGTGATTACTGCAAGTTAGTGACATAGCTGGACAGAAAACCCAGTTAGCCCCACACCTGCTACCAAGTGCTTTAAAATTGGCCAAAGCCACTTTACTATTTAACACGAACAATTTACTAAACATCTTACTTTTGTTTCTGTGTTTAGTGAGATCAGTGATTCCTTTTTTAACCTTCCATTTCTAAAATAGCCTGTACTATACTTCGAGTAAAGTTCCAGGAAATTTAGTGAAATCTGCCAGCAGATTTATCCCACTCATGATATTCACCATAAGCTATAGGATACAGGGTCAGGCTGTTAATCTGGTGATTATGAGGGCTCCATGAATGCTGCTGCACTCTTCTCACTTCACCCAAATAATTACATGGCTCACTAGGAGAATTAAAATGGAGAAAAATAGTAAGACTTAGAAGAAAAATAATGTTTACATAAAACAGACTTATTGCATGATAGCTGGAGGCAACACCTTTGCACAAACAGCTATAAATTAAAGCTGTCCTTTTACTAAGCTTCCAGAGATTGCTTACAGAACGTGTGGCAATGGGAGAACATATAGAAGACAATTTTCTTCTTTCTTCTTCAGTTGCTCAAGTTGTCAAAAAGCTGCTTGCCTACTCTCAAAAGGATGAAGAGAATAACCTTTTATTCTCCCATACCACACTGCTACAGCTCAAGATGTGAACATTTTGCCAACTGATTGCTAAACTAGAATTTTCTTGATTTCTAAGTGGAAGTGGAAGTATATCATCAAATACACATCTTCTGCAGGTGGTAAGTGCTACAGAACTTGAAATCACAATTTTTTTCTCCCCTCTCCAGTAACCATTGTTGAGCTCTCGATGTGCTGTCTCTGTTCATTTCAACTATGAGAAGGCTATCCAGTGTTTAAGTTCTTCTATACGCTGCAATATCTGGGTATAATAGAAATCCATGTTGGCTGCAAAATCAGTGCATACAGGGGATTCCATGTCACCAAAGGTGCAGTACAATGCAGTTCCTCCAATGCTAAGGAAAACAGTTGCTATGCACAGCAGGATCAGCAAAATACAGGAGCCGCCAGCTACTTCGTCTGTAAATATAAGAGCAGAAAAGGTGAAAAAGGATGATAAACAAAGAAACATTAATGCACGTGAGAAAATCTGAGATAGGTTTTTAACATGAATGGGTCAGGAAGTAAACACACTTAATAATGCTCACTGTGTCAGAGTGGCCATAATACATAGCAGGAATTGTATGTTTCTCTACCCAGTCTTTCCAGAAACCTAAACAATTATATAGCTTCATTTCTGCAGTCTGTGTACCTGTCCTCCCTGGTATCGCTTGCAGAACCATTCCACACTGAAGCTTACACCTCCCACCTCCAAGCTCTAACCATTAATAAAAGGATGTCCATTAGATGTCACTCACAAATCATTCAGCCAGAAGAAAAAAGCTGTGGCTTGAGTCTCAACCAGGCCTTAAAACAGAAGTCTACTTACTGTATCCCTCTGTAGCCTTAATACCTAAACCTTCAGGGTACAGAATAATATAATATAAAATAATATAGTATAGAATACTCTTTCATCAATCACCTTCACTTATCACTTAAGTTTTAAAAAGTCATGACAGTATGTAAAATGAATGCCCTACTGTGCTCTTGTGAACAAAAAGATCAACACCATTTGCACTCTCAAGACTGCAACCCATGAATTAACAGCTTTAAATTACCTTGATCCAATGTGTCGTCCGTTTCTTGGAATCGCACCCTTCTCTTTGTTTGCCTTTGCTGGACTTGAGCAATCGTTTTTCCTTCCCTGTCATCTCTCTTCTTTAGTATTGACACCAATCCTTCTGCTGGGGCAATCTATCAGGAAAGACAGTGGATGGCACAAGGGGTGTGAGAAATCCAAGCATAAGAGCTATTTAACGCTGACTTTAAGGAGGAAATGAGCTAAACAGTTTTTAAAAAATGGTTTCCATTCTACTTTTCTTAAACATCGTAGCACTTGTGAAACCTCCTTCTTGAATACATCAATTTCTTAACATGCAGGACAGCTGCAGTATCATTCCACTGTCTGCTGTCACTACTTGCCCTTAATTGCTATCAAAGTTAAATACACATACATTTACTGTTTGGATCATACTTTGTATTCACTGCAACAGTTCTTTTGTAAGCTCACGTTATTAAAACAGATGGGTTGGGACAGTGGTGAGGAAGGTTCACGTCAAAAACACTATCATAAGAGGGCAATAAGGAGGCAATAGCACACTGCTGCTGCATCTCCAAAGATACAATCCTGCAGAGACTATTAAATACTTATTGTGAGATTAATTTTCCAGCATTGCAATTTGTTCCCCAGGGTGGACAGCAAGCTACAGTGGGGCCACAAAATGAAAAACAGATAACGCCAGAGAAAAAGAAAGCTTCAATGCTCTGGACAGATTCCAGATCCACTTTGTAATAAGTGGATCTGGATATTTTGGATACAGCAGCAGTTCAAAAATCTTTCCCTATCACCCAAACAGCTTGAACAAACAGTGATACAGTCAACAAGTCAATAAACTGTAACTTTTCTTTCCATTGCTACAGCACGTGGCTCAGCTGCAAGAGTATATGCTGTCATACTAGGAAGCTACACCAGCCTGAGCAGTCTGTAATTTCCTAGTTATTAGAGAAATTAAAGTAGGGAAGTATCAGGAGAAAAATGCTTTCCTAAGCAAGCAGTTCCTGGTGTGCTAGAAATAAACACAAATTAAAATAGGAAGCATACTTAGACATGCCCTTTTTTATCTTGAGATCATCTTTACCTGAAAAAGTCTTAGTCATCTCTTCATAAATCTGGGTAGCACTTTTAAAAACTTATTCTGCAGATCAACAATAACATTTGTTAAATTGAAAAGTAATCTGTACACATTTGTGCTACCGGTAAGAAAACATACCACATTTGCAACTGAGTTTGCAGCTCATCTATGTTAAGAGACGACCCCAAATGCCTGAATTTTCACAAAAATTCCAAGTGGAAAAAAAGCAACTTTCCAGATAACAGTGTAGTTGAAGACAACTGATTGCTTAACTCCCTCATAATCTAATCAAGATCAAGCAGAAAAAATCGTTTGCATTGCAATTGTAAGAGCTGCAGAAAAACAGAAAACAAGTGACTTTGTAACTGGCGCCCCTAAATTTGCTTCATGCTACAAGCTTACTCAATGCATCGATGCACGCTGTAACCGGGGGGACGGTGCACCGGACACGGCGAAACGCAAAGCACGATCCAACAGCCCCTGCACCAGCTATGGCATTTGGCGTTTGCAACATTTCAACTGGTAAACGTGGCTATTACATTTACAGGTCTCTAGTCTGGCAAGGTTTTAGACCCTCAACTGGACAAATAATGTTGCCCTGACCAACTCACAGAGTTGGTCGCTGTGGGTATACGCCTCCAGTCTAACAAGTTTTCCCAAAATCACAACTAAGAGGATAAAATTGATCTCTGCCACACTTGCCCTTGTGATAGTCACTTTCCCTTTTGCTGATCTGCTCAAGAGCTTGAATGGATTATTTAAAGAAACAAGCCAGTGGAGTACTTACAAAGTAGTGAAAGTGTGGAGGTGGTGGAAAGAAATGGTTTAAGTCAACATATGGAAGACTACTACTTGGTACAAATGAACCAGAAATAATAGCCCACAAGTGTCTCATCACAACAGACAAGAGCACGGGGGTGAAGCTTCTACTGGTAATGTTAAATTAGCCTTGTAGAACCGCCAGGAAAATTTATCAGGCCAGCCAGAAAATCAACATTTATGCTTCCTTGTTGTGGCAAGGAAGGGGGATCACGTAGAAGTGCATTAATTTGCCTTATTTATTTGGAAGGGCAGAGATGAAATTATGTCCTTTGAAAGAGTAGATTATTTTAAGCTTCTGTGTAGGGCATTGCTTTCATAAAGAGGATCAATGTCTCCTCCCGCACCACCCACGCAGCAGGCTGGCTGGCGCCTGGCACGCGTGTTCACAAGTGGCTGGGGCTGCCCTCGGTGGGAATGTCACCCAGGGACAGCAGGGCGTTTGTACACCTGCCCCGAGATTAGTATGTGGTGGTCCACTCTGCAAGTAGTTATTTCAAACTGAGACACTTCATTTGGTCTGTTGGCTCTTAGTAGTTTTTGAATGACCGTGTCACAAGCTCTGTCTTCTCCAAGCTTAAAACCAGAGGGCTCTCTTTGATAGGATTATGTCGAAATGTGTTTCAGTGATTATAGTTACGTAAAAGGCTTGCAAAAGGAAAGTCTTGCTACAGTGAAGTTCTCTTACTCTCCCCCTGTGTTGCTATGGTTCAGGATTTACTTCTAAATGCATAAAGAACTAATCAACACAGCACAGGTTTCTCTGAACACATTTCTTTTGCTTAAAAAGAGGGAGCAAGGACTTTTGATTTTGCAACAAAATCAGTGTGGCTAGTGTTACTTTCCTGTCCCAACAAAAGCCACAGACCATATTTTTAAGATTGTCTCCTTTACATGATATGTAATTTATAGCTGCAATATTTCACCTGCCCTTGAATTTCACAAGTCACGTAATTAAGGTTTTTGTTTTGTTCTACAAAGGACCTACAAAGTTATTGCCTCCTAATCAGGATACAGTTTATTGTTAAAATGCAAATACAAACATATAGCATTCTGCATAAATTCTCATTCAATTAAAACAAATGTACATGTATTTTTCTACCATACCTTTCACTTAGAAAGATTTCAAAGCAATATGCAAACTGATTGTATTAGATCCATCTCCCATTAAACATCCAAGGACAGGGACCTAGTTTCCATGCGAGACGTGAAATTTTCCATCCCAGTCTTTAGGAGACAGGAGGCATTTAAAAAGGCAGAATACATTATTTAAATTGGAATTTAACGAGGGAACTGTGGTTAATACAGCTGACCACAAGTCAAGCCTCTGCTTGATTTAAACCGCAGGAGGAAAAATGTAGGCTTACACCAGGCTGCACTGCAAACAGCTCTGTGTTACATAAAAGAGCTACATAAAGGACCCAATCAAAACATCAATTCTGAGTTAGATAATTAACATAAGATGCTCTTGGAGCACCTATGTAAGTTAGCTTACTCACTCAGCTCTGCTGGCCTTCACAAAATCTTTGATTGGAGCTTTTACAATTACTGTAGAGGAACTGAAAATGGCATACAGGTATGTGGTGACATTTTAACCAACAGTCAAAAAGGAAAGTAACAATGACTGCTAGTTAATTGAAACTCTGTCAAATATTTTAGCTTTTCTCTTTTTACCACTATTAATAAAAAGTGATTCTGCTTCACAGAAAAGTTTTAAACTTTTTTGGATAAAATTTAATATCCTGGCTGCAAAATAAGAAAAAAAATAAGTTCTAATTAAATTACCCATCTCTTCTTTGTTTAAAACAACATTTCTTAATAAAATATTGAAAGAACTTCTTACATTATGGATACTTTTGCCAAATAGGATGTATGTATATTTATAAATATACACAGACAAAACTACGAAAATAAGTTCCTGTACTTCAAGCTTTTAGAGAGAACAGATTAAACTTGACTATTGGAGTCATTCGTAGCAGACAGAAGTAAATAAAAACCCCCAAACTGGAGGCACTGTAGACAGAGATCTAGGAAGAAAAGTTCATTTTATGAAGTATTTTGGTCTGAACGCAGGGAACTACTCGAGGAGGATTTTTGTTTGTATATTCTTCTGTGGGCTGTATTCCTTATTCAGTTACTTGGCAAATGTCTACAGTTTTATTCCTAGCAATACCAGTTTTTTTTAAAGCAGTACCACAAACTAACAAAAGCAAGACTGCTCCGAGTTAAGCTGTAAGTGGCAGACAAACCCCTTCGCTAATAAAACGCATTAGAGAGATGAATAATTTGACTTTGAAAAGGAGATAACGTAGCAGATTCAGTATTCATACCACAGCATCAGACTCGAACTGTTTTTCTGCTAATACATTTCCCACACAAGTACCAGGGCTCTTGTATACAGCAATAAGTAGCTCAGATACCATGTAAGCATTGTGTATGGAAGTGTAATTCTCACAAACTCAAAACTACAGGACCCCAGCCATACAAGAGAAGAGGGGATCTCAACAAGGCACTGTCTCCAGATCTTGTACAGATAGGTGGAGACTTCATTTCTTCAATCAAACCAGCTGCTAGTCTGTACATACTCAGTACTTTTTAAAGTCTTGGTGTACAAACAGCGCCAACCGAAAGCTACTATCTTATGTTGTGGTAGCGAGTCTCACTATCTTATGTTGTGGTAGGGAGTCTCACTATCTTTGCTTTCTAAAAGAAATCAAATGATAATTTTCAAATGAGGAAAAACATTAAGATTCTACTCATTTCCCCAAATATGACTTGTATAAAAAGCTCCTGTTACAAACTTCTATTTTGTATGGCAAAACGCACCTCACATTATTGAGGTTACAACTTGACTGCTGGTGTGTCCTTCCATTCCCACAGAAATGATAGCAAAGAGATCTAAGAAGAGGTTATACACTTCTGGTATCTGTTGCTGCCACTGCTGACTGTGCTTCAAAGCTCTTTATTAGCTGTATTAATCTAGCTTCTATAAAATGACAGTGAATTTTCAGCATTGCACACTGTCCTGAACAGTTTGTACTAGTGAAGAAACACCCAGTGTAAAGGACTGTACAATATGTAAAGTACTATTTTAGTTTTGCGATTATTTAAAGCCAGAGTCAGAATTTAGTGGATTTTCAGTCTTGTAATTAGTTATGTTAATTGGTAGCCTAAAAGCAAGTGACATAAAGGATCTAAAATAGAGAAATACATGGTATGATTCTTTGATCTCAACATGGGGTCAAACAAAACTTCCTAACCATAAATACTTACACAAGTACTTACACTTCCCCATTTTCAATAAATTAATATTGCATCACCATTGAAGAATATTTATAAAATTTTGTACTACCATGTTTCTTGTAGCAAGGTTATTACAAAATAATCTTTATTTCTGCCTTCCATTCTAACTTATTTGTGGTAATTTTGTAAATACTCACTCCGTGACAAGTTTTATCACAGTCAATTTTTTTTTTTTTTTTTTTCTGTCACACTGTTGCATTTCATGTAATTGATTTCACTTCATTCCTGTGGCTACCAATGCATTTTCTAGGTATTTCTTTCACAACTGCTGTATGAAAACATTGTTATCTCATTAGATGGCCACAGCCTGAACAATGCAACTACAAAGGCTTCAGGAGGACAAGAAAGGAAGAAATGTTATGGCTGGGTGCAAAGATAAGTCTGCTTGTCAAAATGTCAGTGGAGTCTTTATTTTAGCACTAAAACAAGATCAGTGAAAGCAAGTTAACAGTCTTCCAGGGAAGCTGGGAGTGCTCACCGCTTCTGAAAAGTAACCCCTAGGGTAATGATAGGTGGTAAGATTAACTGGAAAAACAAAGTGTAAGTGTATAATGAAACAATACAAGCTGTTGTGCTGTCCTTAACTCACCCTGCTGCACCTAGAAATTTCAGGTATTGCAAACAGCCCCAGATGCTGCATACTACAAATTTTATTCAGTATTGAGATTCCTCTCTTCTCCCTGATTTAAACCCTCCTGTCTCATGCATAACTCAGGCCTCTTGCTAAGAATGATTCAAAAAGACTCCCACCAGAGTCAGCCAACATTATGCCTTATATGGCCAGAAAAAGTACTATGGAAAGACTCAAGGTACTTTTTCCTCTCCAGAGACTCAACTCTGCCATCATAGTACTGGCACTCCTAGCCTCAGGATAGCAAATTAGAAATTAAACTAGATTCCTTGTAAAGCATCATCATTGGTGACTGGGTCAATCAATACAAGCATAATTCTTCTAACAGTATTAACATGCTGCTTCCTATCCCATCCTCTAAAATGCAAATGGCACAAAGGTAGCAATTTAAAAATAGTTGCTACAGAATTAATTTAGGATTTTTCTACATGAAACAGAAAGTTCTCTCCTGTAGCTTAAAATGTTGAACTTTCAGTAGGCTCCAAAGAAATCTAATTATATTTAAATTACTCATGTTATACATGTATATGGGCTTAGCATAAACTGTCAACAAAATGCTTTTTTTCAGAACCACCCTCTAAGTGAACACAAGCCAATGGATTTAGTGCAAATATGTAAGAACATGTATGTGAGTTTCCACATCTGCATGTTGTCAAGAGCTTGTGTACAGCTTTGTGCACATGGCTGTCAGTCCTGGCCTGTGGTATGCTTCCTGCCATCTCACAGAAAGGCAAGGTGTTCTAGGGACAGGTCAGGATGAATAATCTTGGAAAGGAGAGAAGAAGCTGTTTAGCTGGGGAGAAAAACTAAAATGCTCGGTTTCCAGCTCTGGAGATTTTGCCAAGCATGAAATAATATCAGCATGGATCCCCAGGATTAAGTTCCTTGCTTGGCTGCTGTCCCTGAGTGACCATGGGTTCTTGGTCTCTGTGCATTAGCTTCTGATCTATAGAGAAGTACTTTCACTTTATTGCCAAGGGATGTTGTATTGTTATATGCACTAAAAATAGAGATGAACTAAGAAGATACCTTTTTACAAGTCTTCCCCCTCCAGCATCTGGAATCACATAATTTCACAATAATCTAACTTTTTCATTTAAAGAAAAAGCTTTTAAGGTCCCATGGTTGCAAATTCACCAAAACCAGAAGACAAATAAAGTGACGATGTCATCATACACTCTCCAAAAAAGTCCCGAAGCAGTAAGGCTTCTATATTTTCAGAAGAGCAATTTAGCTTATAAAGCCCTCATCTTTCTTGTGGCCTATCAGCAGTGCTTCAGAAAGGTGGGTTCAGGCTTATAAGTTATTTCTTAGTTTTGGTTGAACAACAAAGCTGCCTAAATGTGGCAGAAGCCCATACACTAATGTACGGAGTTTACTACATACGTAGTCCTCACCCATATGGAATAGGCACAAAAAAAGGAAATTTTATGCTATGAATAGAAATGAACCACGTTACATCATAGGCATTACGTAGATCTCTGACATGAATTAATGATTTGACAGGAATTGTCAGCCCATCTCCTAACAGTCTCTGTCAAAATAAATCAAAAAGGTGTTCACAGTCATGTACAAATCAATCTGCTTTTTAGAAACGGAGCACTGCTGGTCAAGAAGGAGGCAAACAGGCAAAAAAACCTTTTTTCTGTATTAACTCAGAACAATTAAATAAGTACAGATCTCTTTCCAGATTAAAAAAAAGTGATATATGAAGGAATATTTAACACATTCTGAAGTTGGCAATATCTAAAATATCTTAATTGAGATTAACATGGAAGATTTTACAGTATTCACAGTATTTACCTCAGCAATCTCTATCCTTCTTGCAAGTTCATCGAGAGAAGAAAAGCTGTCATCTAGTGATAAAGCTTCTAGTGAGTTGTAAGATGCTCGTTCAGGTAAAATATCTGGAACAGTGTCAAAGTCCTCTTGGTTTGCTAAGTTTGCAAATGATTCTTCAGTGTCTATTATATTACCATTTAAAAATCTGAGAAATAAATCTTCGTGTTCTTCATTATTTGCCTTCTCCTCCTGTCCTGCTGTTCTCTGTGTTTCCCTGCACACTTGTGAGTGCGCAGCATTCTCATGCTCAGACACTTCATTACACCCAGAGCACACGTTTGATGCAGTTCTGTCCCGTGAAGATTTTTCATCATCACCATCATCAGGCTGTTTCTGTTGCTGCTTTAAATCACTGTTTCCAAGCTGGCCACTAGCAATTTCTGAAGAGCCAGCAGCATATTTTGATCTGAGCAGATTTCTATCAGCTTGAACATCTTTATCAGTAGGAACCAAATCACCAGGCATATAATCAGCATCTGTTAACACCAAAGCATCTACCATTGGCTCAAGAGGGAGTTTCACTCCAGGCTCCCCAGCTGTGCCTCCTATTTTTTCTGCATCCTTAGAGAGCTGTCTTTCTCTCAGCTGCAAACTGTTATCTTTACCGGCATCCCCAGATGATAAACAGCCCGAAGAAGGCCTGCCCACTGTCCCTGTGGACTGGGTGTGTGGCTCCAATGTCGATTCAGCACTGCAGCGCTGCTCCTCCGTGTGGTCCTTTCCTGCAGCTACCCAAAGGCTTGCTGCCTCTGCCTGTCTCTCAGTTTTGTTTTCACCTGGAGAACGAGTGCTCAGCTGTTTATCTTCTTTCTTTGGTCCAACGCCAGGACAAGTTTCAGTACCTAAGTGCAACAGGAAAAACAGTTCCAGTGTTTTTAAATGATTCAAAGCATCAGCCCAGGGGG